TCTCATTAAATAATTACTACAAGCATGGAAAAGGTTTATAATAAAAAGTTTATCATGAGAATAGTGCAAAGTATATACTCAGGCAGTATGGGGTCATGATGAATTGGTAGTTGGTAATCATAGTACTTAGTCCTTCAACATAACCAAATTACTGATTTTCTAGAATTTTCGTAATCCTTTCACAGCGATAAATTTGTACATATTTTAGAATGTCAATAGTAGCCAGTAGCTAATTAAATAGACATGTACAGATTTCAAGAGTAAGAATTGTAAATACACTGGTGGTCAGATTGGCTGAGTGGTATTTCACATCATCTTACACATGTAAATGCTGGTGTTACTGATCCCTATGAATAGATAGGCTGTACTTTATCTGACCTGCTTGCTGCTGTTGTCTGTTGATATTAAAGATATTCCAGATTGATTCTCAGTAAACTACATTTGCCATGATAAATGGGGACAGGGTTGTGACATTGTCTAGGGCACTGAGTTGATAAAATCACAAAACACAAAAATCATCAATTATCTTGTAAAATTATGAGTAATGCTGGAACCTCTTGACAATTTCAGTATAAGCACTGTAAAATATGTTTGAAAAAAGCTAGTACTACTGCAGAAGCTAAATTTGAATAAAATTAATCACATTAAAGGAATACCATTTGCTCTACTAGAAGGACATCTCTAATAGAAGTGCTTAAAAACCAAAAATCATACTTGTACATATACTGAATAATATAATATTACTTATTTAGACCATAGACCTCTGACATTTTTGAAAACACATACACTACTGAAAGAGCAAATACAGTATATGTTTTTAGGCTATTAGAAATAGATAAACTACAAGGTTATTAGTTTTACAGTATATTGTCCAAAAAAATTCTACTTGGGACCCACATACCATCTTCATTATCAAAACAGATGGAGAGTAAATTTAAAAGCAACTGTCGGTACTACATATAGTCCAGACAAAATCACTTATAAACTCTTAAGTACTAGTGCATTACCCTTTCTAGTGAGTAGTGACATAATCCCAGCTAGAATTTCTTCTACTGCATTCACAGACAAAATCTGCACTATAAAGGTGCACTGTATAATGGTGTCATTTTCTAGGCTGCACTGACCTCTTTTACACAATTTGCATACATGTCTTTTCTTATGGCAATAATAATTAAAGTTCCTCAGAGGATACTGCTTTGTAACATATCTATGCTTAGACATAAACAGACCATTTGAGTTTTAAGGACTGATCAATCTCTTTCAAGAAAGGGTAAATGATTTAATTTTAATTTCTACTCAGAATGACTTTTGTTTCTTTTTGCTTTCTTTTAAATGTAGCTGTTCCAGCATAAAAAAAAGTTCCTGCACTAAAATTTGCTTTTCTCAGTTCTATTTGTAAACAATGCAATTCTCTCAAGAAAATTAATCATGTTTTATAATAAATTTTGATATTCAAAATTAACAAAAAAAATGTTAAAAAATGTGCAGTATGTTGCACTTAAATGTTGGTGTGAAAAAGGGGTTACATGCAAAATTGATTCCAATGAATTTTGTGTTTATGGAAAGGTGGTTTAAAAATCACAAAGTAACGTAACCTGTGTTTGTATGCAGTAAAACTTGCCATTGATTTTCTATGACCTTTAAGTCGTAGTTGAGTTTTAATATATCTAATACACCTGTTGTGATCAAGTGACAGTGTACAAACCTGTTGACAGATACTCTGATTATTCAGTAATAATAGACTGCTTCACTAGTCATGCTAAACTATGCAGGCTGAGACCCTTGGTTTACATTCCTTAAGTCTGTATTTAAATTTCCACTCCACAAAATATATCTTTGTTGTCCTAGGTACTTGTGGGGAAGGCCACAATCTATTTATGGACATCTACGGTCGATTCAGGAATATCACTCAGTCATGAAAATTAGTTAATCATTCGATAGTTTTATTTCGGACTCACCAAGAGATAACAAGATGGTGGAGCAACAGCAAAAGTGACAGATTGTAACAATAACAAAATTTGAGCGGTAAACCATGTGATTGGCTGAACGCTATAACATTGTAGCTAAATGTAACAATGACGTAATAATCGTAAAGTTCTAACATAAAATAAAACATGTGTGGGTTCCAACGATAGTACTAGTACATTGGTAAAAAATTTGGTTAGGTATATTTTGTAATCATATTGTATTTGCTCTGCTTTTGTAAAAGACTTAAGTGTGTCTATAGTCAAAAGTCAAAAGTCATGATCCAGCATTCAGTTTTTGGTTTGTGTATGCTTCTAATATAGAAATATTTATATTATTTTTTTTTTATTAAGAAATTTGTAAATTGAAGTATTGGTGCAGGCAGCAAAATATAAGTACTGACTTGTATCATCCTTGTAGTCTAGAATGAATAAAATAGTTACAGCTGTGGGGGCTAATACCACATTATATTTCAGATTACCACTTTGCAAACTGGGAGAAAATAGCATGTATGAAAAATCTTTATTTTTTTTCAAATTTGTGTTGTAAATCGAATACTGGTATGCTATTTTAATAAATGCACAGTATGTTTTCCAGATGTTTAATTTACCTTTCTGTGGCTATAATTATTATGGCAGAATAATTATTTTTTTTGTAATGTGTCTCAGCAGTTGGGACGAAAGTGATATATCTAAATGTAATTTGCCATTGTATGCCAAAGTAAAGTACATGTGTTCAGTGAATATATTTAAATGATTTAATGAAGTATGAATGCTTTACTTTGATCTCTCAGCATTCTTCTACCTACTTGAAATATCTTCAGTAAATGCAATCTTATACTGTAAAAAAAATCTGTATTCTTTGTAAGCAATCATCAGCCTAGTCCCTGCCTGTGTGATCCTTTAACTTAGATTTAAGTGCAGGAGAGTAGATATACATGTATATTTTGTTTTGATTAGCAAATCTACTAATTGCAGTCATGATTCAGTAGATATAGTCTTTGAAGTCTGTATTGTTAGTCATAGTTTGTTTTTTGCCATTCTGGTCATCACGTACAGAGTACACATAGCTACTTTTGTAGGTTCAGAGATGCAAGCAAATAGGTTTGTTGTACAGGAAACTTAACACAGAAAAGAAAGGGTAGTTCACTTTTTATTCAATATATTCTGAAAAATAAAAGTGATAAACGAACCTCAGTAGAGCACATTCTTTGTCCAATGAAGTTTGATACTCTGTCTAGAAGTTTTTACATTTTGCAAAAACCAACTGCAATTTTTTTTTTGAGATTTTTTAAGTCACTACAATTAAATACATTTTGCATACTACTCAAGATACATGTTTAATGTTCAGCAGAACTATAACTTTTACAAAGAATTATTCACAAATTTAGAATGCTGATTCGTTGATAATCTGCTGTAAACTTATTGAAGGTATAATTTTCTGACCTGTGGCACTTTTATTGGTCATGCTCTATGTTTGTATCAGAATTAAATACCAGTGCAAACTACTGCTTTTTTTGATCAGTCACAATTCACATCAGCTAATAATTTTTATTTGAGTTGTGTGTTTGTGGAATGCACCATTCTTTTAATTTGTGCCTTCAATTGGTGAATTGGTTCACTGATGTACAATGTATATTGGTACGAAAGGATGATGTTTACACTGCTGATATTGTTAATTTATAGCCATCCATCAATACTGTTGTTTTAGGAGTTTACTGTATTCCAAATGACAATGGCTTCACAACCAAACAGAGTTGTTTTCTTTCAATGACTTTATTTACATCCATCTACATCATTTGAAGATGTCACAGAGGCATTCTGTGTTAAATTTTTTTTTTTTATATTATAAGGTTATTTGGAGAGTTCAAAAGCAGTATAGCGATCATATTGACCCATACTGCCTGAGTGCATATTTTGCGGTATTCTCATGATAATCTTATTATTATACATATTTTAAGAGATTACTGTAAAATACTTTATTTTCACTTGCAACTAATTTTTGCTATTTTCGCTGAAGGAATGATTCAGTTAAAATAAAATCCAGCTAATATACATTTATTCCTATATTTTACATTCAACTCGTCAAAAATTGGTGAAAATAAATTCCATACAAAACACCCAAAAAGTCTTTTCAGCGAAAATTAATTCCAGCTGAGATATTTGTGTCAGTGACAGAATTCTATTTCCATGGTGTGCTATGGAACTTCTGCATCCAATGTAAACAAAAGAAAATGTTTGAATGTTACATCAATAATCTGGAACATGTCAATGTTAGTAACCTAGTTTACACCATGTAAGGGAAAGTTTGAATGTTTAAATAAGTGGTGACAGGTATAGGAAGGAGTGCTGATACAGCTTTTTATAGAATGGCTAATTTTATTGTTTTCGGTGCTAGAAGTATAATAATATCATCTATATTAATGTGTTTTCACTTTGACCATATGTTATCAATAGCTGTGTGAGCAATATTAGGCAAATGAGAAACAGAAAGGTTTTTGAAGGCTGGCTCTTCTCTATGTTATTTTTACCACTGCTTTGCTTGATTGTAATAGAGTGAATGGTAGAAAGAGTTATTAAGAATTTAGGCTAAACAAGTGAACAGCTGGTAGTCAGCTGTAGTAAAGATATGTGCCTCCTGGTTTGTTCAAGTCAAACTAATGACAAGACAGCAGAATGTTTGAAAATAAAACATCTTGATTTTTTGTGGCTGTTTTGAAAAATGAGTCAGAAGTCTTCATCTCTCTCCGCATCTGGAGTTGCATTTTTAATTACATGTTTCCCTTGCTGTCTTTGGGTCTTTACCCAGCAGACCATTGCAATAAGTGATAAACTAAGATTTATAAATTGAGATTAATTTTAGCTAAAGTACCTTAGCCAAGACATAGACTTTTAGCGTCTATGCATGGCCAAGGTAACATTTCACTGTATTGGTGCCTCCAGTATTTGTATATTTATATTAATAATGTTTGTATTTGATTACAGTGTTCAGCTACATGTGGCAGAGGACAAAGATATCGTGCAGTTTACTGTATTGACAGTGAAGGCAGAGATCTACCAGATGAGCTATGCCAAAGTGAGAAACCTAAACAGTCAAGAGGATGTCGTGTAATGAAATGTCCAAAATGGAAGTCAGAACCCTGGAGTAAGGTAATCCTAACACTGATAATTCACACACAACTTCCACGTTCAGCCTGTTCTATTTGAATTTAGTTGTGCACTTGTGTATAACATCGCCCTCTGTTGACAACTTTTGGTATTATAAGGGATTTGTTTTTATTGCATTATTTTATTTGTGTTTGTAAATTTTGTGGCTTTGTGCTTACTACAATAACTTAACAATTGTATCTAGACAATTCAGCCTCAATAATTGAACCATGATAATAAGGATGAAAATAAATTTGTTTTTACCAGTGTTCAGTTAAATGTGGAGAAGGTGTGAAGACAAGAGAAGTAAAATGTACTAAAGATAGATACCGTACAGGGATTTCTGAATTGTGTGACCCAAGAAAGAAACCAATTGATACACGCAAATGTAAAAAACCTGATTGTGTCACATATACATGGAGGACTGGTAGGTGGTCACAGGTAAGCACGTCTCCTCTAGTAATGCATATAGGGCTATGAGTAATCTCTATATTATTTGCCCAATCTCAGCACCTCCCTTTTCAGTGTACCATTATTTTGCGGTATTAATCAGGTTTTCTACATCCTACTATATTAAATAATGCAAATTCTAATGAAGAAAGTATTTCAAAATAAGACAGTACTGTAGAATACTTTATTTTCGCTTGGAATTTATTTTCGCTGAAGGGATGATTCCGTGAATATAAAATCCAGCGAATATACTTTTTTTCCTATATTTCACATTAAACTCATAAAAAATCAGCGAAAATTAATTCCAGCGAAAATAAAGTATTCCACAGTATTTCAAAAAATCATGGTATTAACTGCTATATCCTGAACCGGAAATCACCTAAGAACTATGTACATTCACAGGCGTTTGGCAGGGACTGCAACAAACTACTCCTCTGTACTCAACTGGTTGACACATGATCTTTGGGTTTCCATTTTAAGTTCACATAAAGAAAAAAAATCATGTTTTTCTATTCAAATTTCTATTAAAGTATCATTATCATTTATTGCATACTCCAATATGATTTGGTACAGTTAAGAAACACTTTTTAGATGCTCACAGATTATTAAAATCACCCATTAACATTCTCATGCTTGTTTACCCTTTCGTTTCTTACTACAACATTTCATTTGATATTTTACTTATAGTACACACCCTCCTCTCTTAACCTTTTCACCACCATTTCCCTCTTTTCATCACAAATGTGCAAAATAGTCCCTTTTATAGAGTGCACTTTTCTTCAGAAGATTTGGACTAAAATAGCCAAATATTTTGAATAAAAACAAAAAATTGGCTCAGATTTTGTCTGTTGGGTGAGAAAGTCTGGTGGTGAAAAAGTATGATACAAAAACATGGTTTCAAGATGATTGATAACTTTATTCATCAACAGTGTACAAGGTCTTGCAGCGGAGGTAAAAGACACAGAGTTGTTCATTGCATTGATAGTAAAGACCAGCTTGTAGAAGATAGAAAGTGTGGTAAAAAAAGACCCAGGAACTCAAAGAAATGTAATTCCCAATCTTGCCCTGGTCCTACAGTTATATGGACCAATGGCCAGTGGTCTGAAGTATGTATGATCATATTTTAGTTAAATTGTTATAGATATACAGCATGCAATCTGCTTCACTATGAGAAGGACATACTTATCTACATGCTATGCCATCTCTTAGATTTGTTCATTTCGTGATGATATCTTCAATTATCTAATTTTGTGAATACTTATTTACATTTCTATGTATTAGCTCAATGTGCAATGTTTCTTGTTAATTTCAACATGGGAATGTCCATCAAAGTACTAATCACTAAGTTATAGTCATCAATAATTTCTTTGAATAAGCTAGGCTTGAAATCAGTTTGCTTTAATAAACTAATTTTAATCTATTATCAGTGTTCACAGACATGTGGACAGGGTCACCAATCAAGACGAGTGTCTTGTAAGATACTCAGCAAAGGAGGATGGCCTGTACCAGGAGACACTACAGGATGTGAAGTGAGTAAAAAGCCATCAGCAGTCAAATTATGTAATCTGGGTGAATGTGACGCTAGCAATCATTGGATAGTAGGAATGTGGAGTGAAGTAAGTATATACAGTAAAAATAAGTCATATTTTAATGATCAAGTATACAATAAATGAATTTTATTTTAATATGTATATATCAAATAAAGCAGTTATCGTAACTTCCTTCTCACACAGACGAATATATACATGATTTATATAAAAAAAATTAATAAGTGTATGGGGTGACCAATCTGTTGAGTGCCTGATGAATTAAATTACCATAGTGTTGAGCTGAATCTAGTGGTTTGGTAATCCTGTGTGTCACTATAATATATATTTCTCTTAATTTAGTGTTCTAGGAGTTGTGGAATTGGAATAACACAAAGAAAAGTACAATGTACAGGTAGAAGTGGGGAAACTAGATTAGAAAATATGTGCCGTCCTCCTGCTGTCAAACCTGAAAGTTTCAGAACATGTGATAGTGGACCATGTAAGTTCATATATATTCTTTTCTTTTACATTATTTTCAATCAAATTATACAGAGTCATGTAAAATGTGATAGTGACATCTGTAACACCAAGTCAAAAGCTGATTTTGTATGTCATGCTTATATCACAGATGTGTGGGATAATTCTCCAAAAATGACAGAGATGTATCTTTGATCAAACATTTCAATGATCCAGCATACAATAAATTAACATGTATTTCAAACATGTATTTAAACATGTATTTAAACATGTATTTAAACATGTATTTCAAACATGTATTTAAACATGTATTTTCAAACATGTATTTCAAACATGTATTTAAACATGTATTTAAACATGTATTTAAACATGTATTTAAACATGTATTTCAAACATGTATTTAAACATGTATTTCAAACATGTATTTCAAATATGTATTTCAAACATGTATTTAAACATGTATTAAAATATGTTAATCCTGACCACGTTGCAGTATAGTGCAGGAATCATTTCTCAAAACAATTTTACAGCATAGCTCACAATAATATCAACTTCATTAATCTGAAACCCCAAAACATAGATTACAGTACTCTTAGCATTTTCATTTTATGGATATTTACACTTGGCATGCAAATAAAGGAAGGTTCTCATTAAAATTAAAAATTTGAGAAGCAGAATTTGAGATGAGTGCAAACCCCAAATAAAACGCTAAAAGATATTTTTTCAATTTTTGTTGTGTTGATCATGAATTGACTCGATTTCAACATTCTGTGTGTGTCTTAGGTTTACCTGGAAGTTGTCAAGATGTTAAAAAGATGAAAGGTGTTACCAAGGACAGTGAATATCAAATCTTAGTGCATGGAAGACTGTTACAGGTGTACTGTTATAATATGATATCAGATAATCCATCCGAATATCTTACACTGCCAGCTGGTGAAGCTGAAAATTTTTCAGAAATTTATCCAAAAACGTAAGTTACTTGACCTAATAGAGGAGCAGCAATTTGGTCTACTCGGTAGAGTAAGGCGGATGCCCCACTAAAAAGTTCTGAAACAAGCCTAGCTGGGTTTGAATTGTAATTGATTCAGTTATTTATGTATTGAACTTATTGATCAGCAAATTTTCTATAGTGCATTTCCTTTATAGCACAAAAGACAATTCCATCTTAATATGCATAGAGAGAGAGGTCAGCATCACTGATGTAAGGACTGCCGCTTCCATTGATGAATAAAAACAGTTGTCATTATTTATATAACATTTGTTTATTAGGAGAGACTGCACTGACTCATGACTGTTTTTCATTTTAAACTAAATTTATATTATTATTGCTGTACACTGATATAAATGTTATTTTTTAAGATACAATAAAACACTATTATTCATTCTTATCAAAATATTGGCATTTGTTCCAAATTGTCGCGAGATGATATATTAATATATTTAATATTATTGATCTCTTTCAGTTTATTAGAGCCCAAAAAGTGTCCAGATAATGGGAACAGGAATTATGACTGTGCTTGTACTGTTCATGGTCATCCAGAATCTGGATTTTCATCATTCACTAAAATCAGAATTGATATAAATACATTATCAGTTCTTGGTAAGTAGAACAAGTTATCAACAATAGGCTCTCTAAATTGACATGAAGCTGTGACGCAACTCGTTAGAACATGATACATTGATATAGTCATTTTAAAAAACATCTAATTATAATTATTGAATTTGTAATTTGGTAAAATGTAATCCACACTTATAAACAGAATAAGTGTAAAAATAAAATGAATCATAGGCCAAAACATTTTTGTTTATGCCTCAAGTTATTTTAATATACTGTAAAATATTTTTGCTTGGAATTAATTTTCGCTATTTTCACTTAAGGAATGATTCCTTTTTTCCTAAACTTTACATCCAACTTGTCAAAAATCAGTGAAAATAAATTCCATCTAAAACACCCATAAAGTCTTTTCAGCAAAAAATAATTCCAGCTAAAATAAAGTATTTCACAGTATATAGTCACATATACTTTTTCTTGAAGACTGACCTTCCCAGCAGCCAACAAGCTGACTCAACTTGATTTTAAGGATTCCATTTTGACTCAGGAATTCTACAAAATCAGCTCTGTAACAGGGCACACTGGTTATCAATCCCTATGTCCAACTATTACAGTCAATAAATGAGTTGTCAACTGGGCCTATATGATAACCAAATAACATACTGATTTGGTATAATCATATTTGGATAGTGTATTCTTCATTTTTTTTGGATCAGTGCTTCTGAATACGTTTTGATTCTTGAATTTACTTGGTTGAAAATTTTTTTTAATGTGTTCATTATTCCTACATCGTTTCTGAACTGACTGTGTTGATAATGTTTGTAGAAACCATTATTGATATAAAAAATTCATTCATTTGTATTCACATTCATTTATTTTATTTTTGTTCCCAGATGATGATTCCAAGTTCTCAACAACGAAAATTGGAATCTTTGTCCCATTTGGTACTGCAGGTGATTGTTATAGTTACGCTAATTGTCCACAGGGACATTTCAATATTAATTTAACTGGCACTGGTTTAGCTGTCACTGCCGAAACAAGCTGGGATACTGCTGGTACAGCTGTCACCAGAAATATTTTCAGAGAAAAGGTAATTATACATTGTGTTTAGTTCTATAGGAAGACATAAACTTTTTTTTTTTTTTCGAGAAATTTTTACTAGATAATATTTGTCTTTTCCAACAAAGCAATTTTCCTTTAATTTACTATAAACTGTAATCTAGCAATTTATGTGAAAATAATAGGGCACTAGTCATTGCACTGTCACAGTGTTGTTTTTGGCATACGTGTGACCAGTGACTTCTCTAACGTGACTGATTTTGTAAGAATCTTGATGGAATTGATTTTAATTATGCTGCTGACAGAGCTATTTAAAAAAAAAATAAAGTGGCTGTAGGAAGCTTCTGAAGGCATGAAATAAAATGATGTGACTCTAGATTTCCTTTGTTTTGAAGAACACTATATTAATGTATATTTTTCTGGTATGTCATTGGTTGTGCCGTGGATGAATCATGACTACTTGTGACACAAACAATTTCTGGGTGTCAGTGACATGTCTTATTGGCTAAGAGTGCACACTGCATAGAACTTATACAATGCACACAAAATATATCGTTTAGAACATGTGTTGTACAACTAGCACCATCATTAAACCTTGTGAATAATCAGTTTTTAAAGTAAATGAAGATGCAGCTGAATTGGATACTGTAAAATAAGGATGATTCAGTCAAAATAAAATCCGAATATACAGTTCTTCTATAATTTTACATTCAACTCAGCAAAAATCAGTGATCCATACACAAAACACCCTAAAAAGCCTTTTGAGCAATAATTAAATCCAGCAAAAATATTATTCAGTAGTTTAATATCAAAGGAGTTATTGTGATTTCAGTGGAATTTTAACTCCCAAACATTCAGTTCCTTATTATATATTTATTCATGAACGAAATTCTCATTATTATCATTTACTTCTGTAGAATGGTCAAATAATACGTGGTAGGTGTGGTGGTTATTGTGGTAAATGTTTTCCAGACAGGATGAGTGGATTACAACTTGCATTCCTTTCATGATAGTATATCAAGATGCCAAACTCAGGTCAGTTATAACTTTTATTGTAAATAAAAAAAAAACTATAGCAAATGTAAATTCTTCATAGCAGGGCTGTGTATTTGCTCCATATGAGGTGCATCTGCACTTGAAACATGTAGATATCAAACAATCATAACTGGATTATTAAAATATTACTTTTTTTTTCTATTAACACACATCTGCTGCTAATGGAGCAAATACAGCTTTATAAGTTTTGTGAAATTGTTCATTTTAACAAAATATTAGGGCAAAGAGAAATGTATTAATATCTACTTAACTTTACTTCAAAAAGATATCAAAGGAAAGTTTATATTTCTGCGTCCACCAACACTCAGACGACATGGCTTATTAGCATTTGTTTTGTACGCGCATTTATGTCAAATTTTGATCTCTCTGTTTTGCACTCAGAGTTGGTCATGTGATTAAAAGATTACCTGATATCACTTGTTCATAGAGCTTGTTAATTCTCATTGCATCATGGTCATGGGTTTGTGAATAATACTAACCCATGACATCACTCATATCAACCATCTCTACAACCAAATGATTTCAGATGATTACTGTGGAATACTTTATTTTCGCTGGAATTAATTTTCGCTGAAAAGGCTTTTTGGGCGTTTTGCTTGGAATTTATTTTCACTGATTTTTCATGAGTTTAATAGGAAATATAGGAAAAAAAGTATATTCGCTGGATTTTATTTTCACGGAATCATCCCTTCAGCGAAAATAGCGAAAATAAATTCCAAGCGAAAATAAAGTATTCTGCAGTACCTCAAAATAAAGTTTAACCTGCATTAATAAACCTAATTATTTTCTTTCTTTTTTTATAGGGATTTGTACAGTCTTTTTAAAGATATATATTTTTAGAAATATTTTTATAACACAAAAAAGCTCGGATAGATTAAAAATTCTATTGAACATTGGTGCTAACTGAATACCCTTATATCATTTCAACAGTATACAAAACAATGTATCTCAAATGTATATACCAATATTTTATTTTTATATATATGTATTTTTTATAAGTTATGTAAGGAAACAACAGATGTCTAAGAATTTTGATAATTATTTTTTCCTCTTCAAACATATGAAATGTTATATGAGGTAATTTATTGAGTTGTATGAACAAAGCTCAGTATTGGGGTTTTGAAGCTTATGAAACCAAACGATGCACTATTTGATAATACCATATTTTGTCTATAATAAATCATGCAATTAATATTAATGTATAAGGTGCATCAAAATCCCATGTGTTTGTATTGGTGTGACAAGACACCAAACTGACAATGTGATTGGTTCAACTTCCATGTCATTTCTCAAATTAAATACTGAGTGTGCTTTTAAGATTTATAATTCAATGGGGAACAAAAGACCAATCCAAAGTGCAAACAGCACAGACAATAAAGAGTATCTTGTGATTAGGGCCTTTACCTTAATAAAGCAAATCTGTAGTAGAAAACATCACAAGAAAATAATTTCAAGATATATACTCACAGTTTTGGTCAAAGTCAAGTGAATTGTGCAAGGCAGAAAAAATATTGGTAGATTCAGCAGTCAGTTGCATTACCCTGTGCACATTACTGAACTGAGGCAAATTCACATAAATACCAGTACAAATGTCTAATTGTATGCTTTTTTATTTGCTCATGCATACCATAACTATTCTACTTTTTTCTGAATCCACAAAAGCTCAGTTTATTTGGTTGATGTTGTGGATTCAAACCTCATTCTTCGCAAACTTTTCATTAATTGAGGAACAACTCTATCTCCTTGTCAACTCTGGATGTCTCACCCTGACTAAAGCTGTACTTTTTTAGCCAAGGCGCAAAGTCTGATTTACATTAGCAGTTTACATTGCTGAGTTGACAAGTTACATTTAGTTACCTGCAGCGTTTATATTCTGCAAATAATTGTAAATCCTTATGGTTGAATACATTTTTAATGGTATCAAATCCGCATAAATATACAGCTAGAATAGTGAGTCATATGACTAAAAGGTAGAAGCCTACTCATGATTTCAAATACACCAGAATTTATTAATTTTCCAATAAATTGTACTTCCAGGCAATATATCGATATTGACTTAAAAAAAGTTGGGGGTCACCAGCTTGGTTTACGATAAAATGATGGATGTATTTTAGTGGATAGTGGCCATTTTTTTTCGGATTATTGTACTTTTACCATAGATTCCTATGGCAGAGATAATATGCCATATCTCAAATTGTAGGCTGGTGACATAGGCTGAACAAATAATATATTGTGAATGATGGGATACTTTTGTTTGTTCTCAATTCTTTAAAAAATCTGAGTTTTAAAAACTGGCAAAAAATGCATGGAATTGTTCTGAAAATAGCGATTTTTGAAAAATACTTTATATTAACACATAAAAGAATGCTATTTAATAGTTGCATTGGACAATAGCTTCATGATTTCATACAATGAACATTATCATGCGATTTATGACCAACTTTAATAAAAATTGTGAGTAGGCTTCTACCTTAAGGTATAAATTACACCTGTATTGGGCTTTGGCAGAATTAACATGTCCTGTTTGTATATTTATGTGCAGAAAATGATAACTGTCGTCATATTAAGCTGCTGATTTTCAGTTCAGGCTGTCGATGAGATTTCTTTGTAGCTTATATCCGACTGTCTGAATTGCAAACCTTCTATAAACAATGAGATTGTTCAAATCAATATTTACATAGAATATGAGAAATCATCAGTTTTAAAGTGAATGAAAATGATTATCATAGAATATGAATTTGATAAAATAATACTGTAGATTACCTGGAATTATTTTTGCTGAAACCCACAACTTGGATTGACAAATCATGTGCAAAGTATTTGTATTTTCACTGGACTTACAACTAAATTCCAAGTAAAAATATGGTATTCTGCAGTAATCGGTGAATATCAAAAATTTCTAGTATTTCAGGTGTATAAAATCATCATTTAAGATTGTATTTAATAGACCGTCAGTTCCAACAAGAACATACCAATACTGGTATTGTAATTAATGTAGTTACATACCTTCAATTATATCACTGCCACGTGTTTTTATTAAACTATATTTTTCTATAAACTATGCAGTAAAAATTGTCAACATATTGCAAACATAGATGCTATATCTTGCAGAGGTTCCTGTATATTGTATTTTTCTTAATAGTGCTATTGACATATTAAATGTAAATTGACATATACTTTACCGTCCTAAACCCACCCAACCATTTTGTTCCCTCTAGACTGACAAAACTTAGATGCAATCTTTGCAATACTGTAATTTCATACAGTTTCAAATTTTTATATTTTCTATTTTCTTTAGTTTTTCAATGCCAGTATTACTGAAATATTTTGTAACAAATCATCTACCTCCAACTTAGTTCACAATTCATAATTTAGGATTATGGGATCGTCCTGCCAATTTTATGTTTGCTTTATGGAATGAAATAATTATGATGTTTAAAGATGCCTGCCATTTCCTTTAGCAACATCCTTTTTACAGATTGATCTGTATCAAAGACTGAATCAATAAACAACGTCCAGGAAAGTGTTTTAGACTGACTATTTTAACGTAAAAAGTCATTACTTTCAGAACTGAGATAAACTTCACCACATTAATGAATTGGAAATATCCAATTCAAATGAAAAGTTTACTGTCAATCCTTTCAATTAACCTTTTTCACGACCAGTTCCTACTTTCCATCACAAATTCACAAAATAGTCCTGTTTATAGTCTGCACTTTCCTTCTAAAGATTTGGACAAAAATAGCCAAATTTTATGAGTAAAAACTGAAAATTGACTAAAATTTTGTCCATTGGCTCCAAAATTATGGTTCATTTTCATAAATATTGAAAAATATACCGGTAAGAAACAAAGTGCAGACAAATTTTAGTGAGAGAGTCTGTTGGTAAAAAGGTTAACAATAAAACACTATTCAATTACATTTATGTAAATAGTAGTGCATTCTGTGTAAAAAAAAAAACAGGCATTTGTGAAAAATAGAAAAGCATTTCACTAAATTAGAAATGCAATGTATCATGTTTTCATAACAGATGTCACGATCTATGTGAGTTACTTTATCAGTGGACTCTGAATCAAACTTCTGTCCATCTGTAAGGCTATGAATCAAACTTCTGTCCATCTGTAAGGCTAATATACTTATTTAATATCAAAATGAAGATATATGCAGTGTTTGTTCAGATAAATTGCTTAAATGGAATTCATAAGCTCATTACAGTACTTTCAGCATCAAATCTGCCAACAACTTCTTGTTTATTTATATATACAATATTTATTATAAGTCAGTGCTCAGAAATTTATGAAGAATTTTATTTAACAGAATCAAACTTTTTTAGCTCTGCTGTTGACTTTGTCGAGCGAAGCTTATCATATGAGTGATTGTCCGTCGTCGTTCGTGTCAATGTTTTACTTTTTCAACTTCTTCTTGAAAACTTTATATATATTTATTTATATATATATATATTATATTTATATATATATTTATTCAGTACCATTGGCCATAGGCCATAATGTACACACTTAAATGTAACACAAATAAATAAATAAATCGTTTGACAAGAATAATCACTGCTACTGCTTGTCTGAATATTACAAACTTATACTTCACATATGAATACCAAATTAAATTTATATTTCAGTTAAATTTCCCTCCAACAAACTATGACGTTTTTGTAAAGAGTAGAATACGTATTTTGCAAGATTTTGTATTGTATATGTATTTTCAGATTGCAGTAGCAAAATAAATTTCCATTCAAGCGCTGGGCAATAGTAAAACTTGTCTATAAAACGAGTTCTAATTTCCTCAAATTTGGGACATTGTAATAGAAAGTGGAACTCGTTTTCAATGAGATTACAACCAAGAGGACACAATCTTTGGTCAAGTGGTATTCCCAATGCCCTACCCTTTTCAATCATGAGCTCATGAGCAGATATCCTAAAACAAGTGAGAGATTTTCT